ATCACCGTGTCGTCGGCATACGTGGACAGCAGCATTGATTCCCGTTCTGGATGGAAGCCAGTGCTGTCCGGGATGAGGTGAGGCATTGGCATGTCTGAGGCATAGATTGTGTATAATATTGGTCCAAGAACACTGCCCTGTGGGACTCCAGCTGATATTTTCCCGATTCTTGAAAGTTCCTCGTCTCCGCAGCTCACACGAAAAGTGCGTTCAGCCAGGTAGCTCTCCAGAATGCAGTACAAATTTAAAGGCAGCAGCTTCATCAACTTGTACAGCAGCCCTTCATGCCATACTCGGTCAAAAGCTTCGGAAATGTCCAGAAAAATTGCCGAGCAAACTTGTTTTTTCTCATACGCCTTGAGGATATATTGAGTGACTCGAGCCAGCTGCTGCTCAGTGCCATGCTCCCGCCGAAATCCAAATTGGTAATTGGGTACGGCCTTGGCAAAATTCTCCACCTCAAACAGTCTCGCCATCAGCAATTTTTCAAAGATAGGTAGGAATTCATGTCTGCTGTGTTTTTGCCCGGCTTTAAAATCATTTTAATCTGGGCATGTTTCCACTGACTTGGAAAGTGGCCCAGTCTGAAAATGGAGTTATATATTAATATTAAATATAATAGCGCTTTTTTTGGCAAATTTTTAATCAGTTTGTTATTGATTTTGTCTCCCCCAGGTGATTTGGACAGCTCCAATGCATCCACAATCTGCATCAGCTCAGGCAGTGTGACTGGTCTGAAGGGAATCCTGGTTTCCTGGTCCGGTTGTAGCTGCTTCTGCCGTTTTGACTGCTCACGCTCTCTGTTGATTGCGGCCCGCTCTTCATCTGAATTGGACAGTATCGGGCTGAATCTCTCCTCCAGGTGAGTAGCAAAGGCATCGGCTGTCTCGGCTGTTGACTTTGTCCACGAGACACTTGCCTTGCCTCCGGTCATAGTTGGCAGCCTCTGTGGCCAGTTTGGCTGCGGCTGTCTTTTGATTGTGCTGGTCAGTTTCCAAAGTTTCTGCATTTGATACCGGTCTTTGTTGTCAATCCCTGTGAACAGTTTGTTGATGTTTTTGTTTTTCAGGATTGTGAGCCCCTTGTTAAGACGATTTTGCGCCGCCCTGTAGTTTCGTCTGGCTTCGATGGTGCGGGTCGCCAGCCAGATCCTCTTGCACTGCTGTTTGATGGAAAGCAGCTCGCTTGTAGCCTCGTCCAGCTTAAGGTGATGGTGCCGGTGATGTTGCTGTGACCGCTGCTGATGTTGATGCTGACGCTGCTGTGGCCATCTTCGATGTGTGCTTGGGTGCTGCTGTTGATGTTGTGTTGATGCTGCTGCTGCTGCTACCCGTATATTGTTCAAAAACAAGTCAACGACGTCATCAATGTCCTGCGCTATTCTAATCTCGGTGTTGAGATTGATCAACCGTTCCAGCGACTTTTGGAACAGGCTGATATTGGCACGTGCTGGGAGCAGATGTTTCCTGACTGTGGGCGTAGGATGTCTACGTCCACCGCTGCCGATCGTCAACTCCACCCTGAGCAGCAAGTGATCAGAGTCCAAATCCGAGCTTGAACGGATACTCAGGTGAGTGTCGTGGATTCCTTTGTAGATTCCAAAGTCAATCGCTGATGGTCTCTTTTTTTTGTCGTAGGGATAGTGTGTGGCACCACCGGTGGCCAGCAAATTGCAGCCGTTGTTGGTGTGTACAGCCTCCATCAGTGCTTTCCCTCTGGCGCATCCACGGACATTTCCCCACCACATATGCTTCGCGTTCCAGTCACCGCATACAAGGAAGCCGGATGCTGTTTCTTCGACGCAGAGTTCTTCAAAATGTCTTATCAATCCAGTAAAATGGGCAGGTGCCCACTTGAATACAGGCGGACAGTAGATCGGCGCAAAAATAATTCCCTTTTTATTTTCCTTTTCAGTGAAGACGATGACAGGTGCACTCTGGATGAATGGCTTTGAAATTGGCTGCAGTGCAGAGTGGGTGACATCGTCCCGGAACAGGATGGCTACTCCCCCTCTGCGATCGTTTGCCGGATTTTGTGCAGTGTAAGTGTGGAATCCGCTCACAGAGACGGCCCTTGTGCGTGTTTCGATGACCATCATTAATTGTATTTTTTCCCTTTTCAGGAAAACTTCGACCTCGTTCAACTTGTTTGTCACACCACACGCGTTCCAGAAGGCAATTTTAAAAGAGTTGTGGGTGGAAATAGTCTGTACTGGATTGACTTTTTGGTTTGACAGGCTATTCGGGACTGGACTAAACATAGAAGGCATCATTGGCGGAGGACAGGACCATGTCCAAAGAGTTTGGTGAACTGCTATTTGTTGTTTTGCTTGTTTTATTTGTATTGATATTTATTAATTTGACTATTGCAGAAAATAGACTATCGATTTTGGCCTCAAGTCTTGAGAGAAATTCTGCATTTTCTTTATGGGCATGGGACTGGAAATTTGCGGGGAGAGTTTTTTGCTGTTCTTGTTGCTGCTGGTGGTGGTGCTGCTGCTGCTCATCCCTCAACTTCTGTTGGAACTTGGCCAAATGATTTTCGGCCGGATTGGCTTGAGCTGTAAAACGATGTTCAATCCTTTTGTTGGATCGTTGGGGCTCAACCCTCCGATCTGTTTTATTGTGTTTTATGTTCACCGTAGGTACAGTGGGTATTCGAAATAATGAATACTTTACTTTACTTTAATATGAGCATACTACATCTCCCTCCTTTTGAAAAATAACGTAATCTAATGAAGTTATTTTATTTTTAGCTTTTACTATATATGTATACGAGTTATGTATTCTTAAAAAGACAATTTATATATATATATATTTTTTTTTTCTTTTTAGTCAATTATTAGAGTATTGAGCTTTAATTAATATTGATAAAATTTAAAAGTTATTTGAATATAAATGCAGAATAGTATATTTTTATGGTTTATATTTATGCATGGCCATACTAAAAAATGATTAATAATTGCAAATCTTTAACATATCCTTATGTACTTTCTGAGTTTTGTTTTTATTATCGGAGATTATGACGTTATCTCTTTCTCCGATACTTTCTACTCTATATGGTCCTATATATTTAAAATCTAGCTTATGTCCTGTTTCATTTTTCAATAAAACTTTATCTCCTACAGCTAAATTTAAATCTTTTAACTTTAAGTCATATAGCTGTTTATTTTTAATTTTATGCTCCTCGAGCATAATCCTTGCTCGTTTATATGCTATTTCTAATCTATATTTACTCTCTTTAGAGTAATCATCTATGTTATATAGAGGTGCTATTCTATCTATAGTATTAAATTGATCTGGTAAGTTTGAAGTCTTTCCGAAAACTAGCTCATATGGACAATAATCATGTGCCATAGAGGGGGTTGTATTAAAACAATATACGAAGTATTGCAGCCATACATCCCAGTCTGCTTTGTCAGCTGAGATGTATGAGCGTATGAACTCGTTAAATGTTCTGTGGCTTCGCTCCTCGGTTCCTACAGTCTGGTGATGATGTGCAGTAGAAGTTATGTTTTTGATGTTTAGATTTTTACATAAGTCTTCAATTATTGAATTTTTATATTCTGTTCCCATGTCCGTAATGAACGTCTTCATTGGACCGTATTGACTATTACAGAAACACCATACATGGCTTTTGATAGGGTAATAGTGGATACGATCCGTCCACTTCCTAAATCAGAACAAGGAAATGAATATGCAGTCACCTTAATATGTGACCTGACAAAATACCTTGTTGCCATACCCATTAGAAACAAAAGTGCAAATACAGTAGCTAAAGCTATTTTTGAAAATTTTATTCTAAAGTACGGTCCAATGAAGACGTTCATTACGGACATGGGAACAGAATATAAAAATTCAATAATTGAAGACTTATGTAAAAATCTAAACATCAAAAACATAACTTCTACTGCACATCATCACCAGACTGTAGGAACCGAGGAGCGAAGCCACAGAACATTTAACGAGTTCATACGCTCATACATCTCAGCTGACAAAGCAGACTGGGATGTATGGCTGCAATACTTCGTATATTGTTTTAATACAACCCCCTCTATGGCACATGATTATTGTCCATATGAGCTAGTTTTCGGAAAGACTTCAAACTTACCAGATCAATTTAATACTATAGATAGAATAGCACCTCTATATAACATAGATGATTACTCTAAAGAGAGTAAATATAGATTAGAAATAGCATATAAACGAGCAAGGATTATGCTCGAGGAGCATAAAATTAAAAATAAACAGCTATATGACTTAAAGTTAAAAGATTTAAATTTAGCTGTAGGAGATAAAGTTTTATTGAAAAATGAAACAGGACATAAGCTAGATTTTAAATATATAGGACCATATAGAGTAGAAAGTATCGGAGAAAGAGATAACGTCATAATCTCCGATAATAAAAACAAAACTCAGAAAGTACATAAGGATATGTTAAAGATTTGCAATTATTAATCATTTTTTAGTATGGCCATGCATAAATATAAACCATAAAAATATACTATTCTGCATTTATATTCAAATAACTTTTAAATTTTATCAATATTAATTAAAGCTCAATACTCTAATAATTGACTAAAAAGAAAAAAAAAATATATATATATATAAATTGTCTTTTTAAGAATACATAACTCGTATACATATATAGTAAAAGCTAAAAATAAAATAACTTCATTAGATTACGTTATTTTTCAAAAGGAGGGAGATGTAGTATGCTCATATTAAAGTAAAGTAAAGTATTCATTATTTCGAATACCCACTGTACCTACGGTGAACATAAAACACAATAAAACAGATCGGAGGGTTGAGCCCCAACGATCCAACAAAAGGATTGAACATCGTTTTACAGCTCAAGCCAATCCGGCCGAAAATCATTTGGCCAAGTTCCAACAGAAGTTGAGGGATGAGCAGCAGCAGCACCACCACCAGCAGCAACAAGAACAGCAAAAAACTCTCCCCGCAAATTTCCAGTCCCATGCCCATAAAGAAAATGCAGAATTTCTCTCAAGACTTGAGGCCAAAATCGATAGTCTATTTTCTGCAATAGTCAAATTAATAAATATCAATACAAATAAAACAAGCAAAACAACAAATAGCAGTTCACCAAACTCTTTGGACATGGTCCTGTCCTCCGCCAATGATGCCTTCTATGTTTAGTCCAGTCCCGAATAGCCTGTCAAACCAAAAAGTCAATCCAGTACAGACTATTTCCACCCACAACTCTTTTAAAATTGCCTTCTGGAACGCGTGTGGTGTGACAAACAAGTTGAACGAGGTCGAAGTTTTCCTGAAAAGGGAAAAAATACAATTAATGATGGTCATCGAAACACGCACAAGGGCCGTCTCTGTGAGCGGATTCCACACTTACACTGCACAAAATCCGGCAAACGATCGCAGAGGGGGAGTAGCCATCCTGTTCCGGGACGATGTCACCCACTCTGCACTGCAGCCAATTTCAAAGCCATTCATCCAGAGTGCACCTGTCATCGTCTTCACTGAAAAGGAAAATAAAAAGGGAATTATTTTTGCGCCGATCTACTGTCCGCCTGTATTCAAGTGGGCGCCTGCCCATTTTACTGGATTGATAAGACATTTTGAAGAACTCTGCGTCGAAGAAACAGCATCCGGCTTCCTTGTATGCGGTGACTGGAACGCGAAGCATATGTGGTGGGGAAATGTCCGTGGATGCGCCAGAGGGAAAGCACTGATGGAGGCTGTACACACCAACAACGGCTGCAATTTGCTGGCCACCGGTGGTGCCACACACTATCCCTACGACAAAAAAAAGAGACCATCAGCGATTGACTTTGGAATCTACAAAGGAATCCACGACACTCACCTGAGTATCCGTTCAAGCTCGGATTTGGACTCTGATCACTTGCTGCTCAGGGTGGAGTTGACGATCGGCAGCGGTGGACGTAGACATCCTACGCCCACAGTCAGGAAACATCTGCTCCCAGCACGTGCCAATATCAGCCTGTTCCAAAAGTCGCTAGAACGGTTGATCAATCTCAACACCGAGATTAGAATAGCGCAGGACATTGATGACGTCGTTGACTTGTTTTTGAACAATATACGGGTAGCAGCAGCAGCAGCATCAACACAACATCAACAGCAGCACCCAAGCACACATCGAAGATGGCCACAGCAGCGTCAGCATCAACATCAGCAGCGGTCACAGCAACATCACCGGCACCATCACCTTAAGCTGGACGAGGCTACAAGCGAGCTGCTTTCCATCAAACAGCAGTGCAAGAGGATCTGGCTGGCGACCCGCACCATCGAAGCCAGACGAAACTACAGGGCGGCGCAAAATCGTCTTAACAAGGGGCTCACAATCCTGAAAAACAAAAACATCAACAAACTGTTCACAGGGATTGACAACAAAGACCGGCATCAAATGCAGAAACTTTGGAAACTGACCAGCACAATCAAAAGACAGCCGCAGCCAAACTGGCCACAGAGGCTGCCAACTATGACCGGAGGCAAGGCAAGTGTCTCGTGGACAAAGTCAACAGCCGAGACAGCCGATGCCTTTGCTACTCACCTGGAGGAGAGATTCAGCCCGATACTGTCCAATTCAGATGAAGAGCGGGCCGCAATCAACAGAGAGCGTGAGCAGTCAAAACGGCAGAAGCAGCTACAACCGGACCAGGAAACCAGGATTCCCTTCAGACCAGTCACATTGCCTGAGCTGATGCAGATTGTGGATGCATTGGAGCTGTCCAAATCACCTGGGGAAGACAAAATCAATAACAAACTGATTAAAAATTTGCCAAAAAAAGCGCTATTATATTTAATATTAATATATAACTCCATTTTCAGACTGGGCCACTTTCCAAGTCAGTGGAAACATGCCCAGATTAAAATGATTTTAAAGCCGGGCAAAAACACAGCAGACATGAATTCCTACCGGCCAATCAGTCTATTATCTGGCCTTTCAAAGATCTTTGAAAAATTGCTGATGGCGAGACTGTTTGAGGTGGAGAATTTTGCCAAGGCCGTACCCAATTACCAATTTGGATTTCGGCGGGAGCATGGCACTGAGCAGCAGCTGGCTCGAGTCACTCAATATATCCTCAAGGCGTATGAGAAAAAACAAGTTTGCTCGGCAATTTTTCTGGACATTTCCGAAGCTTTTGACCGAGTATGGCATGAAGGGCTGCTGTACAAGTTGATGAAGCTGCTGCCTTTAAATTTGTACTGCATTCTGGAGAGCTACCTGGCTGAACGCACTTTTCGTGTGAGCTGCGGAGACGAGGAACTTTCAAGAATCGGGAAAATATCAGCTGGAGTCCCACAGGGCAGTGTTCTTGGACCAATATTATACACAATCTATGCCTCAGACATGCCAATGCCTCACCTCATCCCGGACAGCACTGGCTTCCATCCAGAACGGGAATCAATGCTGCTGTCCACGTATGCCGACGACACGGTGATAATGAGCGCATCTGCAATCCCAAATGCGGCAGTCAAATATAACCAAAGATACCTGACTCACTTCTCTATATGGGCCAAGAAGTGGTGCATTAACATAAATGCGAAAAAAACCGGACATGTAATATTCACACTGAGGACAATTAGATCAACGGACTTAAGGCAAACGCCGACTATAAATGGACAGGCTGTGCCACTTGACAAATCACACACATATCTGGGCATAAAATTGGACAAAGAACTCACCCTAAGCTCACACATCACGAGGATCTGCACAAAACTCCGATCAAGAGCGGCCAAACTGGACTGGCTTGCTGGCCCAAAAAGCCGGCTGCCAAGCGAAACCAAGGCTATAGTCATCAAGCAGCTCATCATGCCCATTTGGCAATATGGTCTTCCGGTTTGGGGCGCACTTACATCCGATTCCCAGCTGCGACGGGTGCAAAGCCTACAAAATAAAATCATTAGACGGGCAATGAAGGCGACAAGGTTCACCAGGAACGATGCCATAAGACAGACTCACAATCTAGACACAATCGACGAAGTGTTCCATGCGGCAAGTGGGCGCTTCGCAACTCCTTGGCTTGCCATGTCAATCCGGAGGCTCGGAAACTATTACTGCAGCCGTATGAGCCACAGCGATTGCAGAGGCCACGATATCTGCAACAGCTGCTTCAACACTTCCGCCCGCTGTAACCTCGAAATCAGGATCGGAGCAGCCATCAACAACAACATCCAGATCCGGCCATCTCCGAGGAATCGCTTCCAACGCTGGTCCGTATTGAAGAGGAGGAGCTGAAAAGAAAGAGACAGGAGGAATCAGACGCCAGGCAATTAAGAAGAATCCAACAACAAAATATCATCAATCCGAACCCCGAAAGGTTCAACGAATTGATGATAAATTGCTTCAGAAAACGATACCTCAGCGGCCAAACTCCCCGAGAAAGAATAGTGGCTCTTATCTTTGGCCAGCCACTTTCTGTCCAAAGGATAATCCTGCCAGATTACGAGGGGGATCCCGATCCAGCGACGCAGCAGCATACCCAGCAGCAGACTCAGCAGCAGACGCAGCAGCAGACTCAGCAGCAGATGCAGCAGCAGACGCAGCAGCGGACCCAGCAGCAGACGCAGCAGCGGACTCAGCAGCAGACTCAACAACAGATGCAGCAGCAGACGCAGCAGCGGACTCAGCAGCAGACACAGCAAATTCTGGCGAGCAGCAACCGGCAGACGTCACATCATCGTTGCCAGACACGGGCTGCAAGCAGCAGCTCACGCACCCTGGACGACAGCCATCGACGCAATCCGCAAGAGGCACTTCTGGACCACGGACTGGAGCAAGTCCGACGGCGCCTTGAACGGGTGGTCGACGACGACGACGACGACGTCCAAATCATCTCAGATGACGACGACGACGACGTCCAAATCATCACCGATGTCCAATCCATCTCAGATGACGATGACCACAACAACGACGATGATGCCGGCCGGCACATTGCGCACACCGCCACAGTCACTCCGCACTTTGGTGCAGCAAGGCGCCGCTCACTGGGATGCCGCAATCCGGCCGCAGCTAGTCCAATACTCTTGTGTTGGTCTTTGTCGGTATTCCTGGTGAGTGTAAAAATGGTTTTAATTTGCACACCTTCATTCCATCCACAGAGAACCAAAAATACTCACCTGAAGCGCGTGAAAACACGCTTGCGACACCGGGCGACACCCCTAGTTGCTCCTCTGATCCTTTCTCATGGGCGTCACCACGGCATCCGGCCTCCAGAAGGGCTCCGCGGACGAGAGTCATCACGGCTGCTGGTTGGCCATGAATGCTTTGGACACGCTTGCGCTACACACATGGCGCATCCGAATCCACGCAGGGGTGGTTTTCCTGCACTTCATGGCTGCTGGCAACCATCGCCACACAAATTTGGCCGAATCCCGGGCCACCTGGAGGACCACGGCGATCGCTCCATCCACTCTGCACGGCGCTGTGCATTGTCCACGTCTCCTGCCGCACCTTACACACGCGCTCACCCAGCGCCGTACGGTTGCGCACCGTGCCAAACACTCTGCTCCAGACGACGACGATGATCCAGTACCTGCAAATAGAAATAAAATATAATTAAATTAGATTAAAATGTAAACAATTGTTCAAATATTGTCAATACTTATCTGTTTGTGACCACCTGCTGATTTATGTACGTTAATCCTGTGATTGACACATAAGGGCTGCCAGACCATTAGTTTCATGTTTTAATGTTAATGTTAATGTAATGTCAATGTAATGTTAATGTTAATGTTAACAGCCCGCCAATTTTAAAATCACATTATTGTTGTTAGTTAAGCTTAAATGTAAATTGCCGAAGTTATGGTAATAAGAAAAGCTGGAAATAAACTCCGCCAGTAGCAAAGCTGGCGGGCGAGTGTGCGCATCGTAGGCGTGCACGCGCATCTAATTACATCGAAAAAAAAATAGTGACATCTTAAAGGAGTGTGTGTACCAAATTTGGTTACTCTAGCCTTAATAGTCTCTGAGATTTGTGGTTGCCCCAGATTTTCGTCCTTTGCGGGGCGGAAGGGGGTGTGGCGAAATTTGGACACGAAACGGTCAAGGTCCGATATCTCAGGAGTGTGGATACCAAATTTGGTTGCTCTAGCTCTTATGGGTTCTGAGATCCTTGAACTCATATTTTGCAATTGGCAAAACCTGTGTGTTAGAGTGAGACAGAGCGAGAAAGAGTGAAATTGTTTTCGTGATTCTGGCTGTAATAATTATACGATCTGGTTCAGATTTTGCACTCTAGAAGATATAGTCATCTTCTACGATTCTGCGTTTTTAGTTTTCTCGTATCTTTAAAATTGTGGATGCCACAGATTTTCGCCCTTTGTGGAGGCGGAAGTGGGCGGGGCAAAGTTTTGAAATATTTTTGTAGCAGTGACATATCACAGAAGTCTGGATCCAAAACATCGTTGCTCTAGCTCTTATAGTCTTTGAGCATTAGGCGCTGAAGGGGACGGACAGACGGACGGACGGACAGACAGACAGGGTTCAATCGACTCGGCTATTGATGCTGATCAAGAATATATATACTTTATAGGGTCGGAAACGATTCCTTCTGGACGTTACACACATCCACTTTTACCACAAATCTAATATACCCCAATACTCATTTTGAGTATCGGGTATAAAAAATGCAGAATTTCTCTCAAGACTTGAGGCCAAAATCTATAGTCTATTTTCTGCAATAGTCAAATTAATAAATATCAATACAAATAAAACAAGCAAAACAACAAATAGCAGTTCACCAAACTCTTTGGACATGGTCCTGTCCTCCGCCAATGATGCCTTCTATGTTTAGTCCAGTCCCGAATAGCCTGTCAAACCAAAAAGTCAATCCAGTACAGACTATTTCCACCCACAGCGTCAGCCAGAACGGCAACTCTTTTAAAATTGCCTTCTGGAACGCGTGTGGTGTGACAAACAAGTTGAACGAGGTCGAAGTTTTCCTGAAAAGGGAAAAAATACAATTAATGATGGTCATCGAAACACGCACAAGGGCCGTCTCTGTGAGCGGATTCCACACTTACACTGCACAAAATCCGGCAAACGATCGCAGAGGGGGAGTAGCCATCCTGTTCCGGGACGATGTCACCCACTCTGCACTGCAGCCAATTTCAAAGCCATTCATCCAGAGTGCACCTGTCATCGTCTTCACTGAAAAGGAAAATAAAAAGGGAATTATTTTTGCGCCGATCTACTGTCCGCCTGTATTCAAGTGGGCGCCTGCCCATTTTACTGGATTGATAAGACATTTTGAAGAACTCTGCGTCGAAGAAACAGCATCCGGCTTCCTTGTATGCGGTGACTGGAACGCGAAGCATATGTGGTGGGGAAATGTCCGTGGATGCGCCAGAGGGAAAGCACTGATGGAGGCTGTACACACCAACAACGGCTGCAATTTGCTGGCCACCGGTGGTGCCACACACTATCCCTACGACAAAAAAAAGAGACCATCAGCGATTGACTTTGGAATCTACAAAGGAATCCACGACACTCACCTGAGTATCCGTTCAAGCTCGGATTTGGACTCTGATCACTTGCTGCTCAGGGTGGAGTTGACGATCGGCAGCGGTGGACGTAGACATCCTACGCCCACAGTCAGGAAACATCTGCTCCCAGCACGTGCCAATATCAGCCTGTTCCAAAAGTCGCTGGAACGGTTGATCAATCTCAACACCGAGATTAGAATAGCGCAGGACATTGATGACGTCGTTGACTTGTTTTTGAACAATATACGGGTAGCAGCAGCAGCAGCATCAACACAACATCAACAGCAGCACCCAAGCACACATCGAAGATGGCCACAGCAGCGTCAGCATCAACATCAGCAGCGGTCACAGCAACATCACCGGCACCATCACCTTAAGCTGGACGAGGCTACAAGCGAGCTGCTTTCCATCAAACAGCAGTGCAAGAGGATCTGGCTGGCGACCCGCACCATCGAAGCCAGACGAAACTACAGGGCGGCGCAAAATCGTCTTAACAAGGGGCTCACAATCCTGAAAAACAAAAACATCAACAAACTGTTCACAGGGATTGACAACAAAGACCGGTATCAAATGCAGAAACTTTGGAAACTGACCAGCACAATCAAAAGACAGCCGCAGCCAAACTGGCCACAGAGGCTGCCAACTATGACCGGAGGCAAGGCAAGTGTCTCGTGGACAAAGTCAACAGCCGAGACAGCCGATGCCTTTGCTACTCACCTGGAGGAGAGATTCAGCCCGATACTGTCCAATTCAGATGAAGAGCGGGCCGCAATCAACAGAGAGCGTGAGCAGTCAAAACGGCAGAAGCAGCTACAACCGGACCAGGAAACCAGGATTCCCTTCAGACCAGTCACACTGCCTGAGCTGATGCAGATTGTGGATGCATTGGAGCTGTCCAAATCACCTGGGGGAGACAAAATCAATAACAAACTGATTAAAAATTTGCCAAAAAAAGCGCTATTATATTTAATATTAATATATAACTCCATTTTCAGACTGGGCCACTTTCCAAGTCAGTGGAAACATGCCCAGATTAAAATGATTTTAAAGCCGGGCAAAAACACAGCAGACATGAATTCCTACCGGCCAATCAGTCTATTATCTGGCCTTTCAAAGATCTTTGAAAAATTGCTGATGGCGAGACTGTTTGAGGTGGAGAATTTTGCCAAGGCCGTACCCAATTACCAATTTGGATTTCGGCGGGAGCATGGCACTGAGCAGCAGCTGGCTCGAGTCACTCAATATATCCTCAAGGCGTATGAGAAAAAACAAGTTTGCTCGGCAATTTTTCTGGACATTTCCGAAGCTTTTGACCGAGTATGGCATGAAGGGCTGCTGTACAAGTTGATGAAGCTGCTGCCTTTAAATTTGTACTGCATTCTGGAGAGCTACCTGGCTGAACGCACTTTTCGTGTGAGCTGCGGAGACGAGGAACTTTCAAGAATCGGGAAAATATCAGCTGGAGTCCCACAGGGCAGTGTTCTTGGACCAATATTATACACAATCTATGCCTCAGACATGCCAATGCCTCACCTCATCCCGGACAGCACTGGCTTCCATCCAGAACGGGAATCAATGCTGCTGTCCACGTATGCCGACGACACGGTGATAATGAGCGCATCTGCAATCCCAAATGCGGCAGTCAAATATAACCAAAGATACCTGACTCACTTCTCTATATGGGCCAAGAAGTGGTGCATTAACATAAATGCGAAAAAAACCGGACATGTAATATTCACACTGAGGACAATTAGATCAACGGACTTAAGGCAAACGCCGACTATAAATGGACAGGCTGTGCCACTTGACAAATCACACACATATCTGGGCATAAAATTGGACAAAGAACTCACCCTAAGCTCACACATCACGAGGATCTGCACAAAACTCCGATCAAGAGCGGCCAAACTGGACTGGCTTGCTGGCCCAAAAAGCCGGCTGCCAAGCGAAACCAAGGCTATAGTCATCAAGCAGCTCATCATGCCCATTTGGCAATATGGTCTTCCGGTTTGGGGCGCACTTACATCCGATTCCCAGCTGCGACGGGTGCAAAGCCTACTGTTGAGACAACGAGCTTTTTCGCTGACTATGATTGTTCAATAATTTCACAAATTATTAATTTCCGAAAACGTTATAAATTTTATTATAGGTATTTTGTGTGTTGAGGGTGGCCGAAGATGCCAGAGCCTTTTACAATAGTATTAGAGTGACACACTTGGATGAGGCAAGCGAGCCGATCTCGAGCCAAAGTAATAGATTGGGGACAAAAGGGTCTGTTCTCCAACTATATCAAGCGGTAACTGCTAGAGCAGGCGCAGCTGCTGACGGCTTAGCGACGGCATAGGAAAGAAAAGATAACAAGAGCGAGCATAGATAAGAATAGATGATTAAATGAGAGCATGTTGCTGAGCGAGCATAGATAAAGCTACGCTTACGTTACGTTAGTTTAGTATAATGACCAAAATAGAAAAGAAAGTGAATTGATAGGCAATAAAACAATGGTATAAAATTTACACTCGGGCTTCGCCCGAACATACTCCCCCCGTGGAAGGATCCATGCCTTTCACCTCATCTCGTAGAGGCAATAGACATAGTTTTGCAAGTGCTCTTCGGCTAACACCTGTAGCCATCCTGATCAAGGCGACTCGAGATACGCCATCAGCTCCTGGGATGAGCTCGAGGATTCTCGCTAGAGGCCACTTCAGAGGAGGGAAGTTCTCGTCCTTAACAAGAACGACATCATTGACGTGAAGCTCAGGATTCCGGGTGCGCCACTTCGTTCTTTCTTGAAGACTGGTTAAATACGATTGGCGCCAGCGAGACCAAAAGATTTGCTGAAGCTGTGTGACCTTCTGCCAACGGTCCAAGCGATCGACGTTTAAATGAACCAAGTCAGGCTCCAAGAAGGTTGTGATAGGGGCGCCAACTAGAAAATGGCTGGGCGTGAGTACATCGAGATCTGCAGGGTTCTCTGAAAGAGGAAACAATGGCCTTGAATTAATGATTGCACAGATATTGCACGCGAGAGTGCGCAGCTCATCAAATCCAAGAAGCGAGGATCCGAGGGCACGTCGAAGATAATGCTTAGCAAGCTTGACTGACGCCTCCCACAATCCTCCAAAATGTGGCGATCTAGGAGGAATGAAACGCCAATCGATGCAATCGTTGAGACAAGCTTGATGCACGGCTTCTTGATGACTGTCGCTTAGGAATAGCGACTTAAGTTCCGCCAGTTCGTTCCGCGCTCCAACAAAATTTGTGGCATTATCTGACCAAATACGAATCGGTCTTCCACGGGTGCAAATGAAACGGCGAAGAGCAGAGAGGAACGCAGATGTTGTAAGATCCTTCACAAGCTCGATGTGAACCGCCTTGGTGGAGAAGCATATAAAAATGCTCATGTAGCACTTTAGTGGCGGCCGGTTTCGAACTTCTGATTTATACAGGAACGGACCGCAATAGTCCACGCCGGTAACTAAAAATGCACGAGATTCGCTGACTCTGTCCACCGGAAGATCTGCCATTATTTGCTCGAGAGTTCGAGGCTTCACTCTAAAGCATCTGACACACTTTTGGATTACGTGTGCTACGGTCTTTCGGCCACCGATTGGCCAGTACGTTTGACGAATGATGGCTAATAGCGACTGGGGTCCAGCGTGAAGGTGCTTTTCGTGTAAGTGCCGTATCAGAGCAGAAGTGATGGAATGATTCTTGGGCAATATTATGGGATGCCGTGCTTCAAAGTCCAAGGTAGAGTTTTTAAGACGCCCTCCAACTCGAAGCAAACCGCAATCATCTAAAAATGGCGAAAGAGAGGCGATCGAGCTTGAAGCCTTGATGTCCTTTCGCGTTTCCAGGGCTCTTATTTCAGTGGATAGACGAGATTGTTGAGTAAGACGAATAAGCAGTTCGGTTCCCAAACGCAAGTCCTCCACAGTTATTCCAGACTTTCGTCGATGAATGAATTTGCATACATACGCAAAAATTCGTTGCATTTTGGGGAAGGAATTTACAAACTTTGATTCTTCCACCAAATATCTTTACGCGCAGTTTGTAATTAGTATGGTTTTTCGTGCCTCCAAAACCGGCTCTGGAAGAGCAGGTGTACTTGGCCATTGATCCTTACTGGCTGTCAAGTATGTAGGTCCATACTTCCAAAGATGAGAATTGATGAGCTCAGCTGGTAATGATCCTCGAGAAAGCATATCGGCAGGGTTTTGATCAGTTGGCACGTGCAGCCAAGACATTCCAGATGTGAGTTCCTGAATAACAGAAAGTCTATTAGCGACAAATACATTGAAGTTGGATGGTTGATTCTTGATCCAAGCCAAAACGACTGTGGAGTCACACCAGCAATAATAAGAGCACTTGAAGTTCATCAAAGACACTTCATGCATAAGCTGAGCGAGTAGCGCTGCACCACATAATTCCAACTTGGGTATTGTGATAGTCTTCAGTGGCGCTACACGAGATCTGGAAGATAGAAGATTTGCCTTGACTCCATTGTCGCCTTGCGAAACAGCGTAGATGCAAGCTCCATAAGCACTCATGCTGGCATCACAAAATCCATGCATTTCAAGGTTGCTGCTTCGAAGGAAAGATAGGCGCGGGAAAGAAATTTGTTGCATAGAGTCAAACTGCTGAATAAAGTTGATCCAAGTTGTGCGTAAGGAGACTGGCAGACTTTCATCCCAATGAAGCTTTTCTTTCCACAGCTGCTGTAGAAATATTTTTGCTTTAGTAATAACTGGCCCTATAAGTCCGAGTGGATCATAAAATCGTGCAATAGTTGACAATACAACTCGCTTAGTTGGTTTCGAAGGGACTTGATTGGGACAGAATGAAAATAATAGCTCATCCGAAGTGGGATTCCATGCTAAACCTAGCGTCTTGGTTACATCGCTGCCATCAGTAAATTTAACAAATGTTTCCCTATCTTCATGGGGTGTTTGATCGAGTACATATGTATCGTTGGAACACCATTTTCTGATCTTGAAATTTCCTTTGGCTAATAGTCCTGACACCTGGCGAATTATTTCCAGCACCTCATTTGTAGTATCTCCCCCCGTTAGCAAATCATCCACGTAAAAGTCCCGCAGCACAACTTCAGAGCCAATTGGATATGACGAACTCTCGTCTGCCGCTAGTTGGTGCATAGAACGGACGGCCAGAAATGCTGCTGGTTTCGTTCCATAGGTCACGGTATCCAGCTTGAATGTCCTTAGCTCCTCGAGGGGTGAGTCACGCCACAGTATGCACTGCAGAAAACTATCTTGGGGCGAGACACGGACGCATCTATACATTTTACAAATGTCACCAGTCAATGCTATACGAAAGGTACGAAATCGAAGAAGAGTCGTAACTAACTTTGGCTGAATTGTTGGGCCTGACATCAATATATCGTTGAGGGAATATCCTGTAGATGTACAAGCGGATCCGTCGAAAACTACTCGGAGTTTTGTGGTGGTTTTGTCTTCTCTTAAGACGCAGTGATGAGGAAGAAAAAATTTGCATTGTTTAAGTGCGTCACTTTTGACAGGGGACATGTGATTCAAATCGACGTATTCCTTTATAAATGCGGCGTATTGGGCCTTGAGAAGCGGTTTGCGAACCAACTTGCGCTCTAGATTGAGAAATCTGCGATAGGCTTGTTGATAAGAATCTCCAAGAAGACTGTCACTCAGCTTTAAAGGCAATTGAACGCAATATTCGCCACTTGGAAGCCGACCGCAATGTTTTTTGAAATGTTCCTCGCAAGCAATTTCCTCCTTTGTTGCTTCTGTAGCGGGACCGTGGCAGTTTTCCACTTCCCAGAACCTTCGCACTAGCTCATCCAAACCAACGGTAGGCGTTTGACTCAATTCCGTCGAACTAGAGGCAGCTAGGAGCACTGAGCTGCGGGAGTACTGACCTCCACCTGTGACAACCCAGCCGAGACGGGTTTTTTGTATTATAGGAAGTCCCCTCTCCAATTTGATCTGTCCAACGCATAAAATGTCGTAAAATAAGCTGGCTCCAATAAGTACATCGATGCGCTGAGATTTGTTAAAGTGTGGGTCAGCAAGGCTGATATTGGATGGCATTTCCCATTTGGATACATCAAATGAAGAAGCAGGCTGGTTTCCTGTAATACGTGGAGCAACGAGAGCTGTGAGACTCGTGAAGTAATCGGAAGTCCTGGATTGAATGACCAAATTAACTGAACCTTCCGTGTGAAATGCAGAATCAGCGCCGATACCCGATACTGATACCGACCCTTTGGCTCGTTTCAGCTGAAGCCTCTGAGCAAAGCGAGAGGTTATTAAATTAATCTGAGAGCCTGAATCCAGAAGAGCCCGGCAAGGAAGAAGATCACCAACTCGACTCTTTATCATAATGACTGACGTGGCTAGAAGCACTACGTCTGAGCTAAGATTCTGAGCAGGAGGCGAGCATGGTGATGAAGCGGCAACAAGAGAACTTGAAAGATTGGGGCCTGGGCATAAGTCTGTCTGAATAGGAGACGTAGTAGCGTTTGCAGGTTCCGTGTTAACTGACGTAGGCAGCGGATTGTTGATATGTAAAAGGGTATGATGCTTTTCACCGCATGTGCGACAAGAGCCTGAACTGCAGGAGGTATTCCGATGTCCCTTCTTCAAACAGTTGAAGCAAACTCTAAGCTTCCTTGCCTCTCTAAGACGCAAAGATGGCGAAAGGTTTCCAAAGCGAGTGCAGCTGTAAATGTTATGCCCTTTATTATCACAGAACACGCATTCCAATACGATTGTATTTGTAGCAACAAGACTGTGTTTTGAATGAGTGATTCGTTTATGTTTTCCAACCTGACTGCTATGGATTTGAATCAACATAGCTTGATCCATGCTCTCAATGGCTTGACATCTCCTCTCCAAAAAAGCCGAAAAATGGTCCCATGTTGGTATGACGTTAGGGGGCGACAGCTCCTCCCATTTGGTCCTGGTATCAGAGTCGAGATACTTGTATGTGGAGTGAACGATGATGCATCCAGCTATTTCCTCCATGGTACCCATCGATCTAAGCGCTCTCATGTGAGAATGAAGCTTGTCCGATAAAGTACGTAGCTTTGTAGTTGACCCATCTTCAACCTTCTCATGCCTCAGAATCTCAGCGACGTGTGCCTGAAAGATTAAACGTTTATTATTGAAACGATTGTTTAAAATGTCCAATGCAATATCATAATTGCTCTCCGATACTTCCAAAGAGCGAACAGCCTCCAGGGCAGGTCCATCCAAACATGAGCGCAGGTGCTGGAACTTCTCAATCTTTGATAGAAAGGGCTCCTGATCTATTACTGTGCTAAACATCGAGTAAAAGTCTGCCCACTCAGTATAACCTCCACGGAAAGTGGGAAGTTTAATGTCAGGAATATGATATCGTGACCGTACATTTCCGGAGGCAGTAACGTTGAGCTCGGGTCGTATCGTTGAGTGATGCGGCATGTTCTGGGTAGTCCTGCGGAGTGCTGAGCGAATACGAACTTCGATTTCCATCGCCAAATCCTCAAAATTGTTGCTTAAGTCGCTGCCAATTTCGCTTACATCAAGCTCTTCTAAATTAGAATGAGTAACATTAAATGAGTCGGATATTTTTTCCAAGAATTTTAAATGAACACTTAGCGCATCTTCACTGATTGGGTTGTTTTCATCATTCAATATCGTCTCTCGAAGTGAAACGGCTTTGTTGTATATTGAGAGTGCCTTTAGTTTGTAAAAAGACACCCTGTTTTCCGGCACGTCATTAGACTCATCCATTTTCGACAGGCAGCAGCGAGCAAAGCACAAAGAAGAATCGAAGAACCAACCGTTTGATTTTTTTTGGTATGCAAGCGCAAGTGCAGCGAACCCGAAGCCGCTAATGCACGTAGCTGTATTAGTTCTTGTAAGCAAGCGCGCGACGAAATGGGAACTAACCGCTTCGCGTTCGAACAGTTATGTTTAGCGGATAATTTTCACTGTTTATAATTGTTTATTTCCAAATTGTTACTGACGATCACGTCGGGGTCACCAAATGTTGAGACATCGAGCTTTTTCGCTGACTATGATTGTTCAATAATTTCACAAATTATTAATTTCCGAAAACGTTATAAATTTTATTATAGGTATTTTGTGTGTTGAGGGTGGCCGAAGATGCCAGAGCCTTTTACAATAGAGTGACACACTTGGATGAGGCAAGCGAGCCGATCTCGAGCCAAAGTAATAGATTGGGGACAAAAGGGTCTGTTCTCCAACTATATCAAGCGGTAACTGCTAGAGCAGGCGCAGCTGCTGACGGCTTAGCGACGGCATAGGAAAGAAAAGATAACAAGAGCGAGCATAGATAAGAATAGATCATTAAATGAGAGCATGTTGCTGAGCGAGCATAGATAAAGCTACGCTTACGTTACGTTAGTTTAGTATAATGACCAAAATAGAAAAGAAAGTGAATTGATAGGCAATAAAACAATGGTATAAAATTTACACTCGGGCTTCGCCCGAACACCTACAAAATAAAATCATTAGACGGGCAATGAAGGCGACAAGGTTCACCAGGAACGATGCGATAAGACAGACTCACAATCTAGACACAATCGACGAAGTGTTCCATGCCAACTCCTTGGCTTGCCACGATATCTGCAACAGCTGCTTCAACACTTCCGCCCGCTGCAACCTCGAAATCAGGATCGGAGCAGCCATCAACAACAACATCCAGATCCGGCCATCTCCGAGGAATCGCTTCCAACGCTGGTCCGTATCGAAGAGGAGGAGCTGAAAAGAAAGAGACAGGAGGAATCAGACGCCAGGCAATTAAGAAGAATCCAACAACAAAATATCATCAATCCGAACCCCGAAAGGTTCAACGAATTGATGATAAATTGCTTCAGAAAACGATACCTCAGCGGCCAAACTCCCCGAGAAAGAATAGTGGCTCTTATCTTTGGCCAGCCACTTTCTGTCCAAAGGATAATCCTGCCAGATTACGAGGGGGATCCCGATCCAGCGACGCAGCAGCATACCCAGCAGCAGACTCAGCAGCAGACGCAGCAGCAGACTCAGCAGCAGATGCAGCAGCAGACGCAGCAGCGGACCCAGCAGCAGACGCAGCAGCGGACTCAGCAGCAGACTCAACAACAGATGCAGCAGCAGACGCAGCAGCGGACTCAGCAGCAGACACAGCAAATTCTGGCGAGCAGCAACCGGCAGACGTCACATCATCGTTGCCAGACACGGGCTGCAAGCAGCAGCTCACGCACCCTGGACGACAGCCATCGACGCAATCCGCAAGAGGCACTTCTGGACCACGGACTGGAGCAAGTCCGACGGCGCCTTGAACGGGTGGTCGACGACGACGACGACGACGTCCAAATCATCTCAGATGACGACGACGACGACGTCCAAATCATCACCGATGTCCAATCCATCTCAGATGACGATGACCACAACAACGACGATGATGCCGGCCGGCACATTGCGCACACCGCCACAGTCACTCCGCACTTTGGTGCAGCAAGGCGCCGCTCACTGGGATGCCGCAATCCGGCCGCAGCTAGTCCAATACTCTTGTGTTGGTCTTTGTCGGTATTCCTGGTGAGTGTAAAAATGGTTTTAATTTGCACACCTTCATTCCATCCACAGAGAACCAAAAATACTCACCTGAAGCGCGTGAAAACACGCTTGCGACACCGGGCGACACCCCTAGTTGCTCCTCTGATCCTTTCTCATGGGCGTCACCACGGCATCCGGCCTCCAGAAGGGCTCCGCGGACGAGAGTCATCACGGCTGCTGGTTGGCCATGAATGCCAATTTGGACACGCTTGCGCTACACACATGGCGCATCCGAATCCACGCAGGGGTGGTTTTCCTGCACTTCATGGCTGCTGGCAACCATCGCCACACAAATTTGGCCGAATCCCGGGCCACCTGGAGGACCACGGCGATCGCTCCATCCACTCTGCACGGCGCTGTGCATTGTCCACGTCTCCTGCCGCACCTTACACACGCGCTCACCCAGCGCCGTACGGTTGCGCACCGTGCCAAACACTCTGCTCCAGACGACGACGATGATCCAGTACCTGCAAATAGAAATAAAATATAATTAAATTAGATTAAAATGTAAACAATTGTTCAAATATTGTCAATACTTATCTGTTTGTGACCACCTGCTGATTTATGTACGTTAATCCTGTGATTGACACATAAGGGCTGCCAGACCATTAGTTTCATGTTTTAATGTTAATGTTAATGTAATGTCAATGTAATGTTAATGTTAATGTTAACAGCCCGCCAATTTTAAAATCACATTATTGTTGTTAGTTAAGCTTAAATGTAAATTGCCGAAGTTATGGTAATAGGAAAAGCTGGAAATAAACTCCGCCAGTAGCAAAGCTGGCGGGCGAGTGTGCGCATCGTAGGCGTGCACGCGCATCTAATTACATCGAAAAAAAAAGTGACTTGTGTTTTTTGTTGTTTTATGTGGAACTTTAAATGTTTTTAAATACATGTTTAAACCGGGAAAATGAACTAAATAAACAATATGTGCCAAATAATTGCAAATAATGCAATATAATCATCTGTGATCGCGCTGTAATAGTGAAGCCAATAAACCCAACTGGAGGAAAGAGGAAGGAAAAGCAAGCTACTGAGTACCTGGACCAGGCCACCAAATGGACGCACTTGCTCCAAAACAGACGACCAACAAAATGGATGTTATGGATGCTATGGACAACTCGGCAAGAGCCGAAGCGGGTGGTGAGTGCGTTACTCAAAATAGTGCTACCTACATATCGACCAGGCCCCTGGGAGGGAACCCCTCCGCAAATGCTTCCCTCTTCGAACCAATGTTCGACTCAGAGGGGGATGCGGATCTGGCTGAGTTGGAGACGGACTCGCCAGAGAGTACTGTGAGCTCCTTGGGAGCTACGGTGCTGGAGTTCGAGCGTCGTTTCGTGGACAGGGGTTTATATGTTAGAAAATACCCGCCAATCCCACCAAAAACAGACGCCAACATACAAGAAAAACCGCCATCAAATACACATACAAACACGCAGACAAAAATAGCTCCCAGCGAAAGTGCAACGGGTTCCAAAAATAGCGGCGCTTTCGCACTAACAAAAGAGCATTTAAGTGCACATAAACAAAACAAGAACAAATGTTATGCCCATATGTTTTCGCGCCAAAACATTAGCGAAAACAAAAACAAGCAAACAACTCACACAAGCATCAGAGAGAGCGACGCTTGCGCTCTCTCAGCGTCCGAACCCTTGGCGCACAATCAAAACGGAGGCGCGTCACATCAAGCCCCAAAGCGTTTGCCGCCAAACTTGCACTCACACACTTATGACAAAAAGAGAGATGCTTGCTCTCTCCCGCCGAACCATAAACCCCTGACCTACGCCAATAACAAAACAAAAACAAACACATTGACATATGCCGAAACCATAAACGGCATACAGAAAAACAATGACCAGCAACAGCAACAACGTTTGACGACAGCTGAAAGCAATAATACTAGCAGAAGCAGAAAATGCTTGCTGCCTACTCTGACTCAGGCGGACGAGCATAATACTCAGACAAGGCCTAGTACCAGAACACAGCTGGTAAAGGAATGGCTTAATAGCGTTCCCCCGCTACTGGCCAATGAAATGCCCTCGCCCCTGCCCCTTACCCCTATAGCAAAGGATATCCTGACAACAAATTCGTTTCGCTCGCCGCTCAAAAGAAGATGCGCGGCGATCGAAACGGATTCAGATGACGACCACTTTGCCTGCCTGGCACTTGACACGCCCATGTTCAAGAGTCAGTTTGCGAAAAGATTGCATCACGAGACTCGGCAGATGGAGTCAGATGTTGACCAAATATGCTCACCGCTAAATAGTGAGGTTCCGGTTCCACCAAGTGAGGTTCAACATAGGGAGCCACAAAGTAAGGGGTCTGAAAGTCAACACCAGCCAGACATCAATATAAATATAACGCCCGTCCAACCGTCATTACGCAGCACCAAGGTCCCTACAATCTTCCTGCCCCTGGTGCCTGCAATTGTACCCCTAATCAATAAATTGACAATAAATCCGAACGTGGGGAAATTCACGACGAAATCGATGGCCAACAGTGGACTCAGAGTCCAGTGCGACGACATGACAACATACAACGCCATACAGAACGCCCTTGCTGAAGATAGCACTCAACTGCATACACACCAGCCGCGCAGCGAAAGGGGCTATCGTGTAATAGTGCGGCATTTACACCACACTACGCCCAGCAGCTGGATAACGGAGGAGCTGGAACGACTCGGATACACTGCCCGGTTTATCCGAGGACTCAAACATCGCTTTAATGGAAGGCCTCTAAACATATTTGAGGTTGAAATTCAGCCCAAGGCGGATGGCGGCTATGAGGCAATACTCGCAATTAAACAACTGGCCAGCCAATGCGTCTCCATAGTGAGACAAGCCAAGCCACGCGACCCAGCGCAGTGCCATCGGTGCCAGGAGTTTGGCCACACAAAAAACTATTGCAGACGGCCATACAAGTGTATGAAATGCGCAGGAGATCACCCCACAACAGCATGCAGGAAACCCAGGCAGGAGGATCCCAAATGCGCCAATTGTAGCGGCAAGCACGTGAGCTGCTACAAGGGTTGTCCCGCCTACAAAAAGGCCCGCAGCCATTTAAGGGCAAACAGGCTCATCGGTGAGCAGCAGAGGCAGCAGTATCAACAGCAACGCCAGCAGCCTCAGCAGCCAACTGACCAACAACGCCCACAAACTCAGCAGCCGAGTCGCCAATCCCAATCCCAGCAACAACAACAGCAGACAGCAAACACAGGCACCAGAGGCAATGGCAGGCCTTCCTACAGCAGTGTGTTGCGGTCTGGGAATGCTGAGCAGCAGCAGCAGCCACGCGCGGCAGAACGGCAACAGCCGACGAGCAGTCGTCGTCCTTCCCAGCAACAGCAGCCCCATATCCCCGCCCCCAAGCAGCAGCAGCCATCACAAAAGAAGCGGCCACAACACCAACAGCAACAGCAGCATTCAAGCGGCAGACAGGCGGCCAAACCAGCAGCACAAACACCAGCTGCAGCAGCAGCAGCAACGCCCAACACCCGCAGGCCCTTGTATAGCCGAGGTGCTCAAGCCAATCCGGCCGAAAACCATTTGGCCAAGTTCCAGCAAAATCTAAGGGATGAGCAGCAGCAGCAACATAAACAAAAACAGCAGCAGCGCGGACACAATTTGGGTCGGCAGCACCAGCAGCAGCACCAGCATCGCGGCCATCATTCCCAGCCACAGGCCAAGGGGCGCCAATGCCAGCGCGATCAACGGGTGCAGCCAACTCCAAAAAGTTTCCAGACGCCGAGAAATCCCCAGCATCAGCAGCAGCCAGCCATCCAATGCGATGGCAAGTGTGTGGGACTCCTAAAAGAGTACGCCGTTAAAATTGAAAACTTGGAAAAAAAACTGCAAGAACTTACCACATTAATTGCAAGCCTGACGGAAGCAAAGGGCAGTGGCTCAGCAGCGGCCAATCCTCCAACACAGCCACCAGCAGCAGCACCAACACCAACACCTACAAGACCCGCCGCCAATACACAACCTGACGCCGCAGCCGTATCGGAGGACTCTGATATGGACTGCGAAGCACTCAGCGACGATGGCGACGACCAGTGGACGGACGACGAGATAGCGGATATCATAGACGACTACGATAGCTACTACTCTGACTACTTTTGATGAGCCCAAAAGTCGGTCCTGAGGCAGCCACTAAATACAGATGGAAAACGTTAACTCACATAACCAATACGTACTCACCTGACACGCCATCGACAGAGCTGCCCCACCAGCAGATGCCACGACAAATAGACCAAACTTTTGCTGCTAATTTGACGACATTCTTGGAATATATTGACGACGCTCCTGACAATTCACCGCACAGGTCCAGAGCAGCCACTGAAACAAACCAAAAATGACGTCAATTCGCATACCAACAAAATATGGACAAAACTCAAAATAATCACACGTACCTGCCACGCCTCCGACAGATCTGCCCCTCC